GGTTTATTGTCTAGTTTTAAGTCTCACGAATAGAATCCCGTTTGAATTTTTACTTAATTTTTTGCAATCTGTAATGTATATTTAACGATATTCCTGAAAAGAAAAATATATACACTGTGATTAAATGCAAGTACTCGTACAACATGTTTAAGCATCAGTGTCGTAACAAAATTTTTATAATTTCTCTACATATTCTTTAATTTTCTCTCAAATTTGCATTTAGTGCATGTTTGCTAATAAATTCAGTTTTCATCGTTCTAAAAAAATATTTGTATATTTTTTATAAAATATAAAAAAAATTTTAACTATAACTAAAAATTTTAAGTATAAAAAAAATGCTATTCAAACTAATTAGTATCCTATCGTTCATATGTTTTCGTTGCTCACTGTATGCAAAATGAGGTAACCATTTAGTCCAAAGAACGTCGCTTCGTTCCACAAATATATGAAACTCGAGTCAAAATGGACACCTGTTAGATGATTTGCCGTTTGATGGTTAATTAGCTTAGCTAAAAAAAAAACAAAACAACGTTTCCTCAAAACAACCTGTAGCAAAAATTCGTTACGAGGTCTCTTGTTGATAACCAAAACAGTGTCTCTGAATCAGCGGTGACGTTTCTCGTCCCGACACATCAGAAAACGACTCTTATTTCACAGCCACGCTCGCGCCGCGTCGTATACGAGCCCCGAGCGTTTTTTTTCCCCCGTTCGGTCGAAAACTGGTCGAACACGCCGTCGTCGTAGCCGCCGCCGTTGCCGCGACTAAACAAATATAACTAAGAGGTGGTTCGATGCTGGTTATACCCGTGTGTGCACCTTTCGAGGAACGCAATTGTGTACACAGTGCTCCAAATAATTCTCGCCGCCCCGTGCCCGTTCCGGTACACGGTCGAGACCGGCAAGAATCATTTCCACTAGACCCCTGCTATGTACACTGTGTCACGGTCTTCATTTGCGTCTGTTCGGTTCGTGTTTCCATGACCAACTTTCCAGTACGGTTCATTGAATACATTCGGACGACTCTTGACTCTGTCTAGAAGAGATATCTATTACAAGAAAAAAGAAAAGAAAAGACAAAGAAGAATTAAAGTATTAGTCAAACAATCGGCGGGGCTAGATGATAATGCAAAATGTGGGGAGAAAATTCCCCAGTTGATTCAACAGTTCTCTGACGTAACATCGTCAAATGATATCGGTAAAGTAAACAGTGTGTGTGTGTGTGCGTGCGTGCGTGCGTGCGTGCGTGCGTGCGCGCGCGCGCGCGCGTGTGTGTGTGTGTGTGTGTGTGTGTGTGTGTGTGTGTGTATACATGTATTCAACGGACAATTTTTGTTTTGTTCATTTCCTTCTCGTTTTTTCGAATGTTTTATCTGTCGCCGCGAATACTTCTAACTTTTCACGCGTCGTGCCTCGTCCCGAGGTTGAGAATTTGTTTTTCAGTTGCCGGGGATTGTATAGAGCGATTACCCGCGTCCTTTTAGATCTATCTCGTCTCTGTGTGTCTCTCTCTCCCTTTCTGTATCCTCTGTTGCTGTTGTGTATACGTGTCTCGATTACGCGAGCCGACTTTTTTTTTTTACCACGGGGAAGCGGAGGACACAGAAAACGTTCTCTCGGATCGATAGGCCATCATCTACTTCGCGGGCACCGTGGGTCGCAAGCGAGCGTGTGCGCGCGCGCGCACCGCTGGCTTCACTTTTGCACAGCCGATTTAATCAAGCCGACCGAGAGAGTTTGCACGATTTTATTACGTAATCCATTTATCAGGGAACGCTCGAGGTTGCGCTCCTCGCCTCCTCGTCGGCTGATGTCGAAAGAAGGAAGCGACGATCGAAACTCGCGTGGCAGCGGCGGCACGACATTTCAGAAATCCCTCGATCGCGCGAGCAAACGAGCGAGCGAGAAGGCGACCGCGCGCGCGTGTGCACGCGCTCACCCGTTAATGCACACGGTGTACCGCATCACGATGACGTGCCATTCACCGTGAAAACCATTCACTCAGGCTACTAACAAGGTCGAGCAAGGTCGAGCACAACCATCCTGCATTTATATCGAATATACCAACTGATACATATATATATATATATACGTATATATATATATGTATATATGTTTACGGTCCTGCGCGATGCATACACGTATGTACACGTTACACTTCGCCCTCGTCGTGCGTTTCTGTGTGTGTATGTGAGTATGTGTATCTAGATTTGCGCGCGAAACGAACCGGGAACCTTCGGTATCGATCCGAATGCGTAGAAAATGCTATTGATTCTCCCGGCCCGACCCGCCGACCTCTTCTCCGCGTTCCTATAGTCGTCGGCGAGGATCGAGGAGGCGGAGAGGATCTCCTCTCTTTTCCTCCTCCTTCCAGCCACCTCTTTCTCTCTGTGCATCATCTGTTCAGAAACACTCCGCTTCCTGTTTCTCTTCCTCCTTCTTCCTCCTCCTCCTCCTTTGCTGTTCCCCCCCCCCCCACACACAAGCTGGACAATTTCGGGCCGAAAGAAAGATTCGAATGTACTTTGTTGTATCTTGGAATTTCGTAGAAGATTCGCGCGATCTCTCTCCCCCCGGGTGGATCGTCTTCGTTTTAATAAGTGGGGGACCCGGCTCTCTCGACGACTCGTTTCGTTGTTGTGGGACGATGCTCGGGATGTACCTGTTCGGCTATTCCTAGCCTTTTTCCTTGTCGCGCGCGCGGCGTAACGAATTCCGCCCTTCGTCCGACCGAGGAAAGTCGTTCCCCGGCCACACACACACACACACATATATATATCCTCGTGGTCTCTCTCGTGGTGGAACAAACGTTGCGTACGTGACCGTGATTGGCTTGGGTGAAGGGGTGAGGAGAGAATTACATAAAAGGCACGAACCGAGCGAGTCGCCTATTCGCCCAACCTACGTCCTCCCAGGGTCGTACACCCACGTTCATACCTCGCGCGTATCGTCTCACGGGCTTATATGGATTATGTTATTCTTGTCTGTATGTGTGTATGTACGTGGAACGTTTTACAGAGGACTCTGCCAGGATCGAATAATATGATTTCAAACAGGCTGTATGTCGTTTCTTCCGTATACAAGATTAGAATCAAAGAGAAATTAATGAAATCCCTACTACCGTGGACCGCTTGTGCAAGAGTCATTATGATTTATTCTTCTACTAGCAACCATTTTCTACTTTGAGTTTCGAAACTTGAGATTGAACGTATACAGGGTGCTCCAAAATTACGTAGCCAAGCATTGCTACTGTATTTGTTAATTAAAAATATTATTACGTATCTACACGTAGATACATTAGTGCTTCGGTTCTGAATTCTTTTATAGCTGTGTTTCTGAAGAAATATGTTCAAATTAATCAAACATATTTAAATTCAATTTAACTTTCCCCAGTGTCTACCGTTTTCAGTGATATTTCCAATTTTCTAATGGGTTGTTTACAATCCTAACGACAACACTTTATACGATTAAAAATATCTTTCCGTGAATGTATGTAGCTCGATATAGTAACAAAGTTAGGATTAACGATGTGAGAATACCTTATATAATTTTCTTGGAGATTTTCCATTGATCACCGCTTTCTTTCCTTTGACCATGCAGATCACGAGAAGGAAGGATATGATAAGCTGTGGCCGATGAAGAAGAGAGCACGAGCACGAGCACGAGTAAGAGCAGGAGCACGAGCAAGAGCAAGCGGGTTCGTCGAAGAAGGCGAAAAGAAGCGACGACGAGGCGGCGGGCAGCAATACCAATAAAAAGATCAACACTAGATCTGATGTTAGCGGACATTAACGGTAACTTGGCGGATCTGAGAAGCGAAGCGATGGCGTCGTCGCAGAGGTTTTGCCTGCGCTGGAATAATCATCAAAGTAATCTACTCTCCGTTTTCGACCAACTGCTCCATGACGAGTCGTTCGTCGATGTTACGTTGGCCGTCGAGGGTCAGCTACTCAGGGCACACAAAATGGTGCTGTCGGCGTGTAGTCCGTACTTTCAGGTAAGAGCAGCAGCATAACCCTTTTCCGGTGCCAACCAAAAGAAACGCTGCACGATTAAGCGAGATCAGAAACAGGGGAGCGAGCGCTTGGGGGATATGTCTTTTCGATGACCGACGAGTCGCATTCTAGGACATTATTAATAATTCATAACGATAGATTAATTCACGTGACGCGTATCAATAATTCATCGACGTTTAGTCATAGTCCGTCGAACTTACACCGATGAACGTTTCGCATCTGCTATTTTTACAGGCCCTTTTCGTCGGCCACCCCGACAAGCACCCGATAGTCATTCTCAAGGATGTCCCGTACGTGGATATGCGCAGCCTTCTGGACTTCATGTACCGCGGGGAGGTCAGCGTCGACCAGGACAGGCTAACCGCTTTCCTGAGAGTCGCTGAGTCCCTCAGGATAAAGGGCCTGACCGAGGTGAACGAGGACAAGTGTGACTTGCCCAGTATCACCTCGTCGTTGCTTGGCAATCAAAACATAGTACCTCCGCCACCACCGAGTCTACATAGAATAAACCAAATCGGGCCTCATCACCACGTCTCACAGAAGAGGATGCACCACATGTCCAGCCATCCTCTCCTCGGCTCGGCGTTGTCCGCGCCGAAGAGGAAACGTGGCAGACCGAGGAAGCTAAGCGGATCGTCCGACACACCGATTGGCGAGATCACCGGCCAGGAGCTACAGTCTTGCTCGGGGGCCGATCTCGTCCAGGGCTCGCCGGAGATGATGGAGATGAAGATGAGTATCGACTTTCAGAGCGAGGGTAGCGGTAACAGTGGGAGAAGCGGGAACGGGAATGGTAACGGGTCGGCGGGTAACAACAACGCGAGCAGCAATAACGTCGGGAACTCGGCGACGAGCAACACGGCCGCATCCTCTTTGTCGTCGACGAGAAAGGACGAGCCAACGGAGAACGGTACTGACACGCCCGAGTCGCTGACGCCTCGTGTGAAACGGGAACCTGAACCAACGCCTAGCACATCTGCCCAAGGTAAATAATAATAATAATTCGTATTTTTGTTGAATTTTCTCCTTGAATTTATTTCGATTTTATGAATGCTCAGTAATAAACGATTTAATCGGTGCGATTTGTACTTCAGCCTCCGACGAGACGTTCGCGCGGCCGCACAGTAGACAAGGGAGCGAAGGTTTCAAGCAAGGTAAGAGATACCATTCAGTCAGCTTTACTCGATTAATGGTTTGCGCAACCTTTAATCATTGTCTCTAACGCGATAATCCGAATAACACAATATCATTGCATTGTTAATATTTCTGATCTATATTAGCTTGAGCAAGTTTAACATTCCTTTTACGAAAAGTAATACGAACAGGGGTATTCACGAGCTCGGAAGCTTGTGGATAAGCCGACTAACCATATACAAAAACAGGTTTTCGCTGTTGAGCACCTGTAAACTGATTTTAGTGTATTAGAAAGATATTGAGAAGTGTCTTATCGATTTAATTGAAATTTTGGAGCAATTACTGCATATTACGGTACATAATAATGTATTAAATACATTGGTTACAGGATTTAAGGAATATCATATATTTAGGATAAATATATGTACGTATATATAAAAATATAGAAAAGTTATTTAATGTTTTAAGTATTAACGGTTACTATCAAGTACTTATCCTAATTGCATATTGATTCTCGAAAGTTGATATATATTAGAAATGCGATAGCTTTCAATGAAACGAAGTTGTGGACAGAAGTATTTGAAATATGCATAAGTTATATAATCCTCTTTGCATATTATTAGCATATTAGTTCCAATGCTCTTGTAACCCATATGTATCAATTGAATTAATTGAAAACCACGTGGTTTTCTATACGTGTCTGAAAGTACGCATAAATGAAATAATTTAATTTGAATAACATAAAATTCATTAGCTATGGAATATTAATCTGTGACCACTTTGCATTTAATACATTATTGTACATGATATGGATCAACTGTATGCAAAATTTGAAACACATATATGACCCTATAATAATCATGGTAGTATTTCAACATAAATTAAGTAAGAACCATGTGGTACATAAAATTAATCTGAATATTTGATTAGTATAAGTGATTAGCTTAGAAATCTATTTTTGCATGATCGAATTTAATCCTACAAATTCAAGAATAAATTGTACCGTTGCTGTTTAACCTCCAATAGAATTAATACATTTTCATACGATTCGTCGAGGTCGATCGACGGCGGTAACTACAATCGGAAAATGCATATGTACTCCGTTTCACAAGTGCTTTCTAAGCGACGTCGTTTCGATCCTTATACCAATCAGTCACTTATTCCATCCAGGATGCTGCAATAAAATTCAAACATGTAACGAAGGCGATAGAAATCGCCTAAACTGCTTTTACGATGTGCTAATGAATTTAATTTTTCAGAAATTCTCGTCCGTTAATTTTACCGTGTTCGGCGTTGCGCGACTGCAAAACAATTTCGCACAAGTGCAGTATCGCGGCAACACACGTTTCCGGGGAGGCTATTTTTTTGACCTTAGACTCAAGTACACTCACCAAAAAAGAAAATTGAAAAAAAAATTCGAACTCGAGTCGATGAATTTGTTGACGAGCGCAATTCGTTAAGATGTTAACTCGTGGACGACGCCTGAGCTAGCATCCTTACATGAAATTAAGGTCAACAAATCGCGCAGAGTGCAGATACAAAAAAAAATACAAAAATGTCCTATACATTGTATGTGATTTGCGTCTGGAGCAGGTGAATAGGCTCCCAGGATGTTGTATTACCGTGTCACGGGTTTTTCTAAAGTCGGATTCCAAAAACAACCGTTTCGTTTTTCCGTGCGACCCGAAACAAATCTTTCGGCAGCGGCCCCTAGAGGCCGTATGCAGAAACGTATCGAAAACACACGATGCGCGCGCCGAGTTTCGCACGCGAGGCTTTAGAGAACTATGCACGAGACACCTACTACTTGAGTCACGCGTGTTGACCTGTGACGGTTCAACAAAAAAAAAAACATATATATATATAATAAACAGCGTAATCATAATAGAACCAGAAAATATGTATGCATATATACATATATATAAATATATCTACGAAAGAAATCGAGCGTGTACGAGAGAGAAAGGAAGCCGTCGTCTCGTTGAACCCACATAAACGTTATATGCTCCTCTGAAACGACGAGACATTCGAGCGGAACCAAAAACGTGCCAACAAACACACAGACTCCCTTTGAATGCTGTAGCCTCCAAAAATCTAACCTAACCACCCACCGATTCTTGTTAAAAAAAATGAGTATATATATATAATATATATAGATACATACATATATTTATATACACTTTCTATTTACTGTCACTTTTTTACTTACCCCCGTTTCCGAAACAACCCCATTTTTACATGTCTTGTGTATATACACGCGCGTTATGTATACAATATTCATCCCCACCCCGCCCCCGCACGAATGAGAAACGCTTCGCTGCCATTGGCCACTTGGTAAAAGGAGGGGGTGGAGCCAGCTTTTAGCGGTGCTTACTTTTTTTTTCTGATTTTTATTTTAAACGCTGGTTAACTTCTTTTGTTTCTCACGTTCGTTCGTTGTGTAAGGAAAAAAAAAGTTGAACTATATACACGCAACTATATTAATGCATAAATCATTTTTTCATGTGTATATATATATATATTGTTATCCGAACATTTGCGACGGACCGCTGTGAAATCTGTGGATTAGATCATTTACAAGGAAGTGCGCGTAGATATTTTCACGGACAACGAACGTCGGCAGGTTTATCGCTTCCGCCTTCTCTTGCGTTCTTCTCGTTGCCTAGTTTTCAAGTTCATTGACGACAGAGGAAATCAGAAACGGAGAAACGAGAAACTAAGAAATGCATATATACATATATATATACCGGGATAGATATATATGTGTTTAATGTCGATATAATATACAAGAACGAATAACGAAAAACAAAAAGAAAAATAACACAGGACCGAAAACCAAACAACAGAAAAAAGAGAGAGACAAACGTTGAAACCGAAAAGAGCGAGAGACAGAGAGAGAGAAAGATTTTCGAAAGACTGAGAGAGAGAGATCAGAAACTATCGATATCGAGAGTGGTGTGACGTACGTTTTTTTTTTTTTAATGTTTTCATACGTTCCTTCGAGCGAGAATAACGAGGCAGAGAGAGAGAGAGAGAGAGGAAAGGAAAAAGAGGTAGAGAAAAAAAACAGAGAAAAAGTACAGAAATTCCAATATTCACTGACGTACGTACGCACGCACACACATACACATACACGCGCGCGCGTGACAGAGAGAGTGCTTCGAAGATGTCGAAGATGATCGTTCGGTAGTGACCGTGAAACGTGTTGCTTTTGTTCTCTTTGCGCAGGTGAGTTGAGATTAATCTGAATCACCATTCGATCTCTGAGAGATTACCTTTGCGCGGGGGAAGCGAGGGAACTAGGGGAGGCCAGCCGCTCAAAAATCTGAAACCGTTTCGAAATGCCAGAATATATACATATATACATATACATATATAAATCTCATATAAGAGAAAGTCGATATATATATACTAAAAAAAAAAAATGTATACGTAAAGAATCTGATGTACAGAAAGCCAAAAGCGGATTTAAACGTGTGATCAATTGCATCGAAGAGAAGAGAGAACGTTACTTCTTCTCAAGCGTCCTCGATCTCGATGGATCGTCTTCCCGTAGCGTAACTAAAATAACTAAATAATTTTTCAAAAAAAAAAGTAAGTCGGATGTTATACGATTCGGACTGACGGGACGTGCGGACGGATCGATGTAAAAGGGGGGTGTGTTTTTTTCCCGGGAGTGTTGTTGTTGTTGTTGTTGTTGCTGTAGTGTACACATGATTCCATTGACAGTTGCATACACGTGCATTTTGCGCGCGTACGTACGCATTGTCCTTTGTCTTGAGTGTTGTGTATGTGTGTGTACGTGTGGTTGTATGTTCGTGTTTGCATACGTTGTTGGTCGCAGCGATAGATAAACGTGAACGAATTGGGCTTGAACGGGGATTAGAGAGTACAGAAAAAAGAGGGAGGGGTGGGGAAAAGATAGCTAAATGGTGCAAGTCTGGGAGCGAGGATGGGAAGAGAAAAGGGGATGCTGCGTGAGAAGTGTTGAGAGAATGGGTAGAATGAGAGAAAGTACGAACGCGGAAGTGTTGTGCGAGAGGAGTGGGTGCATGGTGCATAGATCCATTTGGAAGAAAGGGAGAAAGAGAGACGGGGTTCGTTGAGTCGCTGAAAATGCTCCTCTTCGTGGTGTTGGCGACCGGGGACCGGTTAAACAGTCCTCTTCGCAAGCCGGCACGGAATCGAGGCAAAGCCGCGATCAACAGCGGGAGCGAGTAGGCGAAAGAGCGTGCGTGAGAGCGAAAGAATCTGAAGAGGGGAATATGACGACGAACGTACCGCACCGGGGATTTAGGGACATGGAAAACAAGCACGCGGGTTGTGCGACATAAGAAAAAATAAAAGAGAAGAGATAACACGTGGGACAAGGTTTGACGGACAGTCGGTTCGAATACGGTGACTTTTTTGCTGGCTCTACCCTTCCTCTTGCTTCCCCCCACAAATATAGAAATACGTTATATATATATATTTATATATATATATAATATCAATACAATAATTATACACAATATACATTACTATTAATATACATAATTGTATGTTAGTACATACAATATACTTAAGTCCTATAATTATATAAATCTCTATACATATTAATAACGTTATTACAATATTAGAGGATGTCCAGAACTGTTTAAAGAAGGGAGCTTTCTTCGTTTTCAGACTCGGAGGAGACGTCTAGTGGCGGTGGCTCCCAGTCACCGACTCACATTCGCATCAACTTCGAGCGATGCTTTCGCAAGGAGTACAGCGCCTCCTCGCTACAGGGGAAAACGTCGTCGTCGTCTGCGGCTACCACGGCTGTGTCCATGGAGGACTCGCAGCAATACTCCGACTCTGAGTCGGAGCAGAAAGTGTCGAAAGACAATCTGAGCAGTGCCATATTTAATCTGGTCGCCGGCGAATCGGAGATCAGTCAGAGCGACTTCGAGGGTTCGTTTAAGGTCGAGAATGAAAGAACGGAGGGCTCGGTCCGGGACTTCTGCGTGAAAGAGGGGGACGTGTACCGGTGCACCGT